ATGTTGATGATTGGGAACCGGGCGCTCAAAAACACAACCCTATGCTCTCTCTCTCTCTCTCTCTCTCTCTCTCTCTGATTGTTGTAACTTTTGGCTAACTAAGTGAATAAGGAAGGGTAGGAATAAAGAATACAGTATTTGTATAATTTATTAAAGTAAACATTTTAAAAGTTGATTTAAGTGTTAAAATGAAAAATAAATAATTTTGCTATAAAAGTACAGTAATGATAATATTATATTCCCTTTTCAACAACTCATATACACTTTTTTCACATTATTTTATATAACAGTAAAGTGGTATAATAATGAAAATATGAATAAAAACTGATAGCAATTAGCAGGTATATTTTATATTATATATAATTTTTAAAAAATAGTTTGACAAATACAGTAAAAATTAAAAAAAAGTATGCGAAAATATGACATTGATGATTGTATTATAATGTGCACAATACCAGTTAGTGCGGGCATAAAAATAATTTAAAACTTTTGGGAAGTTTGTGTCCGAATAGGTTTGGGTCGCAAATGTTTTTTATTTGTTATCCATTGAAGAACTTTGCGGACAATTATTAAAACAACATTTAGTGGCAAATATAATGTATGATTCTTATGATTATTGTTATAATTATATGAATTATATGTGTTGTAAAGCGCTTAAAATATATGCTCTAATGTGTGACAAAAGCAAACTCATTCACTATTAAACTTTTAACTACATTTAATGATTCTCTCGTGAATAAGGAAGGGTAGGAATAAAGAATACAGTATTTGTATAATTTATTAAAGTAAACATTTTAAAAGTTGATTTAAGTGTTAGAATAAGAAATAAATAATTTTGCTATAAAAGTAATGATAACATTATATTCCCTTTTCAACAACTCATATACACTTTTTTACATTATTTTATATAAAGTGGTATAATAATGAAAATATGAATAAAAACTAATAGCAATTAGCAGGTATATTTTATTTTATATATAATTTTTTTAAAAATAGTTTGACAAATACAGTAAAAATAAAAAAGTATGCGAAAATATGACATTGATGATTGTATTATAATGTGCACAATACCAGTTAGTGCGGGCATAAAAATAATTTAAAACTTTTGGGAAGTTTGTGTCCGAATAGGTTTGGGTCACAAATGTTTTTATTTGTTATCCATTGAAGAACTTTGCGGACAATTATTAAAACAACATTTAGTGGCAAATATAACGTATGATTCTTATGATTATTGTTATAATTATATGAATTATATGTGTTGTAAAGCGCTTAAAATATATGCTCTAATGTGTGACAAAAGCAAACTCATTCACTATTAAACTTTTAACTACATTTAATGAATAGGTTTCTACTATTAACTCAAATAGACGGCAAATAATTTGATTAATTAATGCAATAATTTATGCAAAGCGTTGAAAACATATGCTTTTAAATGCTGTTAAACCTGAAGATAGTCTGAGAAGCGAATGCATGGCTTCATATGTAACCTGAGGTCAAGTCCGTCCGTCGACTTATTCACTGCTTCTTTCACTTCTCGATGTATGAGATGTATAGATATGTAACGTATTGTCAAAATCACATTTCTTCCTGCTTTTCAATACCACAAACACCAACTTTTTTCTATCTCTCTCTATGTCTGAATGACTCTCGACTTTATTTTCAAATATTTATTAATATTTTCTGATATTTAAATTGAGCCTAAATTATGAATATAATTATATTAAGCGTAAGTCTATAATTAAAAGCAATTTTATTTCGTAAAAGTTATTGATTTTAAAATTGGTTTTCAGTTATTTGTATCATTGAATTACATTTCATGCGAGCCATGGGTTGGAGGCAAAGATAACTACTATGCCTTCGCAAAGGCTGAGAACCCACTCTTAAAACCTCCTAAAGTGAGAAAACCGCCGTATATTCCAACGAACATCGATTGCTTGGGTTTGTCTCTAATGTTTTAATACTATAATTATATATTACACTAAATTATATTTATTTACTAATAATTAATGTTAGACACTTTTGGGAAGATTCGTATTTTTATATAATATAAGAATTTCTTGGAAGATATAAATTTCGACGGAATTAATGTATTCATAAATGCTAATTAAGTCCAAATATTTAGCGCCTAGTCCAATTCCAAATAATTGTTTAAAAAATGATTTTAAAAGTAGCTTAAATTAAATCAATTGAATAGTTTTAACAAAATTTTTTGACATAATATGTTTAACTATATTGGAATACATGTCAACAGTTAGAATAAACTATCCACTGGTCATCGTATGACACCACATTTTATTCTATTTTTCCTGTTTTTATTAAGATAAATTATCTTTCCTCCTAAAAATATATTACCAAAATATAAACGACCTGGGAGAGAAGTGTCTAACTTAACAGTAATAATATTCAATCGTAAAATACATCAAACAATTTTAAACTATTTTTGTGATACTTACTTTACAGTTATTCAAATATTTTAATAATATATATTAATAATTATAAAATATTTATGCAATATGGTTGATTTACTTCTTAAATATTTTAAATAACTAATGTTAATAATTGTGTTGTGGTAACTTTTAAGGACTAAACGCCAACCAAAATGGTTTGTCGCCAAAGAATACACTTTGCGGTGATCTTAACCTCGGGTTTGTGCCTAAAAACCCAATGGGACAGAATGTGTTGGGACAGCCCTACCCTTTGTAAGCACAAATAATTTTACGTTTTTTATAAGAATTTTTAAAAATGCAAATTTTTCAAAAATAATAGCGATATAATAAAGAACAAAACTCTTCACTTTCTGGCAAATGCTTTACCAGTTTTGAAGCAAAGAATGCATACCATTCCTAAAGTGGCCAAACTTTTTAAGCCATCCGATATATTTGAACAGTAAGTTTTTATTAACACTATTAATATTTTCAACAATTATTATTTATTCTTATTCTTTTGTAAAATAATATACACTTTTATAACTATTAACTGTTAGAATTTCATGTTTATTTAAAATATTGCAGGATTTGGTATGAATATTCACCGGCAATATGTTTTTATTTCGAAAAACATTTTATAAAAAGTTTTATAAGTTATATACAGTAGTAAAATATATTACCTATCCTATCATTGACGAGTATAGAAAATGTATTCATATTTATTAACACAAATTTATGAATATCTTTAAATACGATTCAAATAATTAAATAATATATGAATTATAGGCCTTCAGTCCCATCCCATCGACGGTTTGCTCGCGAAGCAAACGCCAGTTCATCCGCAGGTGTATTGAGTGAAGTGAAAACAATTAATAATTCTGAGAAAAATGGGACCGACTTTTTAAGACAAAATCTATGCGAAGGAAATTCGTGAGTATATTATTCTTACCTAAATTAAAATACTTTAAAACATATATTTTTAATTATATAAATAAATTTTTAAATAAGATTTTTAGTTTATTTTTTAATTTTATAAGCAATAAATTTGTGAAATAATCCGAAAAAAGTAAAATAATGCTTTAAATTATTTTGTGAAAACATATTTATGTTAATATATCTATAATATTATGCATTAAATTTTTAAAGAATATGTCAAGCATTTGATGCTCTAAAATCTGACGGACCCTTTTCCAAGACTTTTCTGAGTAACGTTGTGTCCGCCGTCTCTAATGCGGCCACAATTGGTAACATAGCATCGATGGTCAACCAATATGGGGGACAGTTGAGTGATTTGCAACCCAATAACAACAATATGAATGCAAATAATGACAATAAATCAACCATTTCTCAAGTGTTGTCCACTTTGTCCACAATAAGCGGATCCAATAACTATAGTCCTTGGATTTCAATAATCGATTACATTTCAAGTTTTCAGAATTCAAATAAATTTCCGTCAAGACGTCGAAAACCACTCGAACCCGAAGATCTACTGCCAGAACCTACTGAACAGTCAACCACTCCCTGTCCAGCCATCGAAGAATATATTTCTCCCACTTTTGCCCGTAATTATCAGGGAATCTGGAAATATGTCGTTCAGATTCCGAGCGAAGGGTATATTCAACTTTTTGATTGTTTTTGAAACTTATATTTTTATTACATCGAAAACAGTAGATATTTATTGTTATATTTTTCAGATATTTCACGCAAACAATTCAAAGGACAAGTTGTCTGTAAGTTAACTAATTAAGTAAAACTTAATAATGTGAATTTAAATATATAAAAATATTTTTTATTCCAGTAAAAACAAATGTGATTTTATAGATGGAGCATGTTCTGAATCACCAAGGTACGGATCATAATTACAATCTAATTTTAATTTTTAATTTTTATAATAATTTATTAATTTAATAGATGGGTCAGTTTATTAGTGGCAGAGATATACTATCCGGACGTTTACTTTCCAGTGTCGGGCGAAAAACCTCTAAATCATATGAATATAAATCAAAACAATCAAATAATTAGTGTTAAAAACAATCATAAACTAAAAACAAGAATCACTCCATCCATGAATTTTCCCACATATGGGGATGACTTGAGACGAATGGATGTTTCAGAAGAACAGCAAAATAAGAGACAACAAATCACACCAAGAAATGGCAGAAAAGTGTCGACAAAAATTAAAATGCAAGACATCGACGGTCTGGACGATGAGATGGTGGCGAAGACCAGCAAAACGCCGGTCAAGGAGTGTGACGGTTACGACAAAATAGGCTGTTATGTGGTTCGCGTATATTATGACTGGTTTCTGGTGAACGGCAGCTGCAAGTGCTGGAAGTCTGTCAAAGGAAACCAATACAACAGCATTAATGAAGCCATTAAAAGGATATTCATCGGCAAGTGGTAGAAGTGATTATTTCATTCATTATTTATTTTAATATAAAGATTATCCCAAAGATTTAAAAATATTTATTGTCTCACATTTT